CTCAGATTTGTCAATTTCCGCCATCAGTCCAGCTTCGCGAAGCCAATTGTTCACAAAAATGAACTCCTCCCGGAGTATTGCGACATTGTTCTCCAAGGATGGAGAGGAGACATATAAGTTTCCATCATCGATGTAGCATGCTAATGTGGTCGGTGTGGCTTTGTCCGGGCGTAATTCACGAGCTCGAGTTTTCGCATTGTAGGCTTCGTTTAGTGGGCTTGTGCAGATAATCGAAAGGGCCGGTGATATTGGGGATCCTTGAGGTATACCGTTTTCGACTGGTTCCGATGACCCAGATGATATGAAGTTCCTGGCGATTCATACTCCCTTTGGGAAGTATGAATGGACGGTAATGCCCATGGGTGTACGAAATGCTCCAGCGGTACATCAACGACGGATGACGACAGCGCTACGACATTTGATTGGTAAGATTTGCCATGTGTACCTGGATGACATCATCATTTGGTCACAAACGCTCGAGGAACACGAGGCAAATGTGCGACAGGTCCTACTGGCATTACGGACAGCACATTTGTATTGTTCTCCAAAAAAGACGTCACTCTTTAACACCGAAATTGATTTCTTAGGTCACCACATCTCTGCTCGGGGTATCGAAGTTGATAGCTCGAAGGTTGCTCGCATCCTGGACTGGCCGCAGCCACGTAACGCGACTGAAGTGCGCGCGTTCTTAGGTATCGTCCGGTACCTCTCAGACCACTTACCTAACATCGCTGGACATACGCGTGTTCTTACTGCACTGACAACAAAATCTGCAGAATTGGAGTTTCCGAGCTGGAACAAGGACCATGCAAACGCCTTTCAAGCCATCAAAGACCTCGTCATCAGCCCACGATGTCTCACAACAATCGATCACGATAATCCAGGGGACAACAAGATCTTCCTTACTTGTGACGCCTCTGACTACGCGACGGGCGCCATGTTATCCTGGGGCCTGACTCACGAGACAGCGCGACCGGTTGCTTTTGATTCAATGCAGCTGCGGAGTGCAGAACTAAACTATCCAGTACATGAAAAGGAGCTCCTGGCGATCATTCGGGCGCTGAAGAAGTGGCGTTTGGACCTGCTGGGTGCGCATGTTGATGTATACACTGACCATCGGACCCTCCTGAACTTCAACACGCAACGAGATCTCTCTCGTCGCCAAGCACGCTGGGCGGAATATATGTCTCAGTACGACATGACATTACACTACATTAAGGGGGAAGACAATGTAGCCGCTGATGCTCTTTCACGGCGAAGGGACACTGTGTCGACTGCTGATCTGTGTGCAGCTCTACTTACCATACAGTCAGACGCAGCCCTCCTGGACCGGATTATCAAAGGGTACGCTATTGATCCCTGGTGTAGTAAGCTGAACAGTCTGCTAGGATCATTACCCGGCTTGTCTTGTGACGAACGAGGGCTCTTCTATATTGTGGACCGACTGGTGATTCCACGGGTAGATGACCTTCGGGAACATCTCTTCAACGCTGCCCATGATGCTGCTGGTCACTTTGGTGCGGACAAGTCGTATGCTCTACTGCGAAGTTCCTACTACTGGCCGAACATGCGGCGCGACCTCATTGATTCTTATATTCCCTCCTGCACAGAGTGCATGCATAACAAGTCTCGCACAACAGCAACCGCAGGGCCGTTACATCCTCTACCAGTTCCAGATGGTCATGGCGATTCTGTGGCTATCGATTTCATTGGGCCGTTGCCAGAAGACAGTGGATTTAACATGCTTGTTTCGATGACAGACCGGTTGAATTCTGATATCCGTTTAGTGCCTTGCAAGGACAACATATCGGCGGAACACTTTGCAGGCTTGTTTTTCGACCATTGGTACTGCGAGAATGGCCTACCACAAGAGATTGTCTCGGACCGCGATAAGCTTTTTTTGTCAAAGTTCTGGCGTGCACTGCATAAACTGACTGGTGTTAAGCTTAAACTGTCATCCTCTTATCATCCGGAAACGGACGGCGCAAGTGAACGTACCAATAAAACAGTCAATCAATGTCTTCGCTACTACGTCGACAGAAATCACAAGGGTTGGGTTCGTGCGCTGCCCCGTGTACGTTTCCACATCATGAACACTGTCAATGCAAGTACTGGCTTCTCTCCTTTTCAGTTGCACCTCGGGCGTTCGCCCCGTATGTTGCCACCACTGATTCCAAAGGCTACCGTCTCCGAAGAGTCTGAAGAAGAACGCGCACGTGTCTTGCTGTCACAGCTCAAGCACGATGTAATGGAAGCACAAGATAATCTACTCGCAGCAAAGGCAGCCCAAGCGGCGAACATCAACAAGAGTCGTGCGCCAGCTCTCGCGTTACAGGTCGGTGATCATGTCATGCTCGCCACCAAACATCGTCGTCGGGAGTATATGCAGAAGGGGGACAAAAGAGTTGCGAAGTTCATGCCTAGATATGACGGTCCATACGTCATTCTGGACGCACACCCAGGAAGCTCAACGTACACACTTGATTTACCAAACTCCCCAAACATATTCCCAACCTTCCACGCCAGCCAATTGCGCCCGTACCACGCGAACGACCCCATTCTTTTCCCTACACGCGAACATCCGCGACCTGGACCCGTGGTGACGGAGAACGGACAACTAGAAACCTTCATCGATAGAATCATCGACGAACGAAAGGTCGGAAGGGGAAAGAAGTACCTCGTACGTTGGGTTGGCTTTGGCGAAGAAGATGACGAGTGGCTGCCGAGGAGGGACTTGGAAGACTGCGAGGCTCTGGACAATTGGGAGAAGGGACGTTCTCAAGGATAGTGGGGAAGGGTGTAAGCATGCGCTTACTTTCATGTGATTAACGCGCCCTTCGTTGATTGGACACCGTGCCATAATTGTCGGTGTTTGGCTGCTAACGCTCATTCAGTATATATAGCTCACCGCTGATGTATCGATATCTTATCTCGTACCGTATCACCGAATCCCATACGCTCATCCACGTTACCGCTGTCTGATTGTCCGCTAGTGTTGATCGTCTACTGTGACGACCTTCCATTACTTCATTGTTTTAGAGCGGAGGCTCAACACATTCTCTTAGAAAAGGGCCTGAAGATCAGTTCGTCTAATGTCAAGTACCTGGACATATTGCTCCATTCGTTGGCCTGGACCCTCTACAGAATTTCGACCTGAAGGCTCGTCCGGCAACTCAAAAACGTTCGACGACGCTGTCTACGAGAGAAGAAGTTTCAAAGGCAAGTGTGCTTACCAAGCCCCAGCTGTGCACAAAGCTACTTCTATGAATCGATCAATGTATTCACGCACTTCGCGTTATATATTAGAATGAACATCCATCTTCATAATTTGACTTCACTCGGCAAAAAAAGGCAACTTAATCAAATCGATTTTGGACGGCGCCGCGCAACTTCGGAAAGGTGTTGGTGTTCTGGATTCGTCGAAATCACACGAGGCTCTTTACATGCCCGTGCATGCTTGACTCAGTATATATGTCTCTATTTTAACAGAAGCCCGCCCTCCAAGTGGTATACATCATAATATCATGATGTACGCGTATAGTGAGGTATGGTGTTGGCCGGGCCTCGCATCTCACCCCTGTTCTGTGCAAGTTCTACCGTTAGTGTTGTGGGCACTGGCTGAACTCTGCCATTCTGCAACGTGGCAGGGGCCGCAGGGTAGAACTGGCACTGTCAGGGCCGATGCGGCAGAACCTCTCGGGGAGAATGGAACTCCAGGACAAGCAGAACCGTGGAGCGGTAACGGATGTACTATACAGCGTTAGATTAGTGTATGATAGCGTGAATTGAGGTATTTTAAACTCTCTACAATGGCTACTAAGTCTGGAAGTCGGCCTCTGAACTCCCTCATCGAAAACAACTTCAAAAAGGGGAACACTACTTCTGCCAAGTCCAACAGATATTGTAATTGCAACCACTGCGACGCCCGCATCGATGGACGTAATAATAACCTCTTCGAACATCTCACGGTGTAAAATGCAGCATTTGTCCACAAGAGACTCGTCACGAGGCGCTGCAACCGTCACTTGATGAAGAAAACCGGCCATGGGTGGAAAGGTGGCTTTGATGGCTGCAATGATGACGAGGGAGGCAATGCTTCTTCTTCGAGTCTATTGGTTATTGAGTCCAGCGCAACTGCCCCTATCCGCAAGCGGAATTCAAGAAGACGACTTTGCATTTGTTCCTCCGCTTGCAGCAGTATCTGGTGACACCAGCTTTTGACAATCTCGAAGGTCTGGAATCAATGTCACTTTTTGACATCGGTGCTGAGTTTGCTCGAGTGGAAGATATTCGCAATGCGGAAAACATGATGGACCCAGAGTTACGAAGATGTGACTTAGCATATTGACTCGATGTTACCGTCTAGCGAGTGGTCTTACATCCATGTAGATACTTCTAATGCCATCGAAGTTTCCCCTCCCCCAATTCTGCCGCATCTGTCACGCTGGCAGAACATGATTCCGAGTCTGCCAGGTTCTTCCGGTAGAACGACTTCAAAACAGTTCTGCCCATAACACTACAATCAGAATCACAAGATAGATCTAAGGTAGCAATGCTGACACTGCAGATATCATCTGTTCGAAAGGGGATTTAAAGTGGATAGGTTCTTCATAAAAGCAAACCGTCCTCCTACTGTCCCCTTCAGATTTATTTGATACCATACCACATCCTCACAAACAATGCGTTTTTCCTTCGTCCTCGCCGTCGCTGCTGCTTTGGCAGCATCAGTATCTGCAGCATCAATACCTGACACTGATCCCAATACTGGTGACGTCTGTCCTAGAGCTTGCTCGAAAAACACCTGCTGCCCTGGGCACAATTGCATATACTTTGTGAGTATGAGTAGTTTGCGTGCTGGATTTAACCCCACGACTCACCGGCGTGGTAGCGGCTCGTCTGGATATGTACAGTGTAACAGTGGCATGATGAGTGAGACTCTGGCATGTCGCGACAGTGAATTACAGTGAGTCGTGTTTCTGCTTTCCCATCAGTGCAGTGTGGTTGATGGCACGACGCGTGTGTTACTAGTAGGGTGTTGCTGAGTTGATCAATATGTTTTCTTGTGAATCAATTTTGCTGCCGTTCGAGCAATGGAGATATTGGAATGGAGCAAATCTCAAATACTTGAATACATAAAATACTTACGACGCAGTTTTGTAGTCTCATTGGAAGCCTTAAACCGAAATACCACAAAGTCATGTATGATAGCAAAAGCCAAATTTGAGGCTGCTTCGCTGTGACCTCCTGAGCCATTCCACGACTTCGTTCCATCTAGTTGAATGTTTGGGTAGGACCTTCCGGCAAAAGGATGCAGAAAGTACGATCTTAATTTCTCTCCCAGGAAACACCTTTGCGAGAAATTTGGCCACTGCTTTTGGATTGGCCGGGAATAAATTCGCATCCACCGCTATCCGCAAGCAGGCAGAACGCGTGGGGCGCGACGACAAAGTAGTAAGAGTTTCGTCATCGAGCACCGGCAACTCTATCGTATCCAACGGGATACAGAGCTCAAGACGCAAAAAATTTGGACAATGCCTTGCAAATATGGCCAGACTGCTGACGTCTATAGCAGCTGTCACAAGTTCCTCTACGAAGGAAGGACTGAAGTAGAATTCGACCAGGTCTGGCCACCCGGAGGCAAGCTTCTTGCACACCGAAGCGTCCAATGATATCACGACGTGATCCAGTATAATGTGCTGCAAGCGGGAGAAGACGAGCTGGCCTTCCATGGAAGGAAGTATGGGTGATTAGAAGCGCAGAATATATCATCGACTGGTAGGAGGACTGTTCGTAAGTCGATGGTAATGGTCCTCGGGGATGATCCCCCATCGCCTTTTCGACGAGATCAAGGCAGTAAACGCGCGCACGATCTGTTCGTTGTACGTGTGGCGGAGATCTAAGGAAATGCTATCCAGCGCACTTGAGTGAACAGCTTCTATCAGTGACATCATGAAACGGAAGTGACTTAATATTGTTAGACATCGCAGGGACGACAAGAGTCGATGGGATTATGCTGGTTGCCAGGTGTGCTGCGCCGCTCCGTGGTCAAGTCAAGGGTAAGTGTTGCGGAAAAAGCACAGGAGCAATTGCCCCAGAGTAGAGCTTGTGCGTATAGTGCCGCAGAACCAAGACTATGAGATGGTTTTAACCGATGCGTGTCTCCTCGATCATGCCTTACCTCCCAATTTTATTGTCTTGAACTGGGGAAGATCATTAACCGGAATCGAGAGTGATGGCCAGGCTCCCGCTTTCTCATCGAATCCGGGATGAAATTCGAAACTCGTGAGATTACTACGGGATAACGACGCGAATGAAATGTCCATAATGTCCCCCGTGCCCGGCACGAGGTCATGACCCGACATGTGAGTGAGATGGGGTAGAAAAATCTCCATATGGTAGGCCGAAAGAAGCCAATCGATGATATGTGAGGGGATCGAGAAAAGTTCGGGAAGAGGCCATCGGCATTTGGCTACAGGACAACCTATCCTTTTGATCCGTCGAGCATACGAAAGCGTGTATAACAAATGTGAGGGCAAAGGGTCTTGAATCAGGTGCTGGAACCATTTGTGAGGAAGACGCATACCGACTAGAGGAAGATATGATCACTTACAATGCTCAGACGCAGGTATGGTTCATCACAAGATATAATATTCTGATCCTCTTCTAGTTTAAAATTACTATCCTGAATTTCGACGATTGATGGAGGTATGCTCATCAGCAACTGCCCGAAGCATATTTGAGTATCCCATAGTACGTCGAGCGCCGGACCACTCAACGCACGACACGTTGTCGCAACTACTGAGAGATGTCTGCTGCGGCGCGGACTTGCGGAACTCGACGAGGATGTGGCCTGCTTTGAGTGGGACGCGGTCCCCTCTTCCATGGAACCAGAGCTGAAGAAGGATTGGCCACGGCGCTGGCGGGTCCAGTTCTCAATAACAAGATCACCCTCTACGAAGAGCTTTGAATATCAATATCGAGTCAAAACGAGAGCAAGACGGGCACGGTGTGCTAGCGCACCTTGGCTCTTCTAGCAACAGTCAATCCGAACTCGAACAAATAATCGCATTAGCGGGGCTTCAGCTCATCCTCGAGTTTAATCGTCCAACGTCTGGATGCCCTTGGGAGCTGATGTGCTGATGAATATCTTCATTTCGTTGGCCAGACGCGTCGAGCGGGGTGTGCTGAGTGGAGTCATGCTCTCGTCGTCTTGGTGTACGCACCATGTAGCAGTCCAACTATGTTTTCCCGAGGGTGTGAAGAACTCGTAGTCGAGTATGGGCATCAGAGCTGTGTCTTTGGCGCTTTCGACGGTTCGTTCGAGGCCATCTCCATCGAGGATCTACGAGTCCTGTCGTCAATAAAGAACACACAATAGAATGAAATAAAATAGTTGTACGCACTTCAGACTCTTCGTGTGGCAAGCTCGATGACTTTGCGCGCACGTTCTTTGACGGTCCTCACAGTCAATTTCCTCGAGCCGACAGACCTGTTCATGAGATCAAACGTGCGCCACTTGTTAATTCCTGGCATCTCGAGGTCAAGGCCACCGTTGAGACTTAAGTCTATGCTATAGATGCCAAACCTTTTCACCAGATACAGCACGAGCTACTATTGAATAGGGGGTAGATATGAATAATGGAATGAACATACCAATCCCTCAAAGCCCCACTCGCCGCGTAGGATGTCTTGCAGGATATGGTTGTTCTCAGAGACGTGGGTGCCATTGACACGATTGTACCTAAAATACGAACGCCAAGATCAGTATCAGCCAAAGCATATCGAGGTCCTTCGAGAACCGCAGTGTATAAAACGCGAACGCACGAATTCATAAAATACCACGGCTTCGCATACTTCTGGGCAAGCATGAACGGCATGAGGTAGATCTCGCGAAGTGCGTGTTCGCTGAGGACTGAGTCGCATGGCATGCGATTGCCTTCTGTCGTTGTACCTGTATCGTTCCGATTTAGTATGGACGTGCAAGATCAGGAAGTGACATACGCGAAGTGCTTGATTGTAGATCCAATACCGCCTTTCTGAACGCCTTCGACGTATGCGGCGGCGATGATATTTGATAGGAGTGGATCTTCTGAGAAAGTCTCGAAGGCCTAAACGTAAAATTAGATTGCGTCAGAACTATTATCCTGGATGAGACTTACACGGCCATCTAGAAGGTTTTGTAGTGTTCGCGAGTCGTAAATAGATGTGCATGAAAAGGTGGAAAAAGCAGACATACACATTGGATATTACAAGTCGTAGCAAGGATAACAGGCGCAGCTCTAAGCTTCGCCTCGCCAGCAAGCAACTTCAACCCAACCTCTTCAATGAACTCCGTATCCCAAGTCGCTCCAGGCGCGGTAACGTAAGGCAGTCACTTTGCCGGTATACTCATGAAGAAGCGGTAGTAGACAAAACGAACCGATAAATGTCCATGATAGTAAGGTACAAGTTGGTCCCAGACTCCCAGTGCCACGACGCGCACTCGTAGCGTCTCGAGACTTTTGCCGCGGCTGAGAAACCATGTCCATCGTGGCCTGTCGAATACGCCGCGTAGAATGAGTATTTGTTTGGATTAGAAGCTTTTGCCAAACAACGACGGTTATCCGAGTGTGCAGCGGGCATGAAGGTAAAACACTGGTGGCAGCACCAGGTGAATAACACACTAGCAGCCTAGAGCCTTGCTCGCATGTGTGCGGCTAGATTACAATAAGTACCTGTGCCTAATACTTTACTTACCACTGAAAGCCGTGGCTCGAGGGCCCGGCTCAGGTTTGCAGATACCCCGAGCCGGGCCTTGAGCTTGAGCCCTCATAGGCCGCACCCCAAGGCTTGGCCTAAATAGGGCTCGGCCCGGCTCGGCTCACGGCCTGAAGCCGGGCTTTACACATCACATTTTTGGCTAGTGTCACACATCGTCACGACTCACATTATATCACAGATCCAGTCATGCATAGTATAGGGACGGGTCCCGACGCTGTGCATTATGAGCAAGTCAACTGTATATATACACCGACTTGAAGTACTGTACGATGGCTCGTGCGATAAGTAGATGGTAGTACTAAGCACCTTCTATTGTTCAAAAATCACTCTTCTCCTCTGGTTTGGCTATCATTCATTTTTCACTGTAAGAACTCGTACAAGGGCTAAGTACAAACCACAGAAGGACGTATACCCATGGCATGCAAACGATAAGGCCAGTAGTAACTGCGTCATTTTAGAAATACATCAGAAAATCCTTCGCATCACTACAACCCATTCCACTCAAACCCTTTCTCAACCACAAAGCTTCCAACCATTGGGAGTTCATCACAGCTACTCCCCACCTTGACACCATAAACGCCCTTCTCCACAACCCACCTATCAATCCTCTCCTCCCAAAACGAGACAGCATACTTGTCCAGCGTCAGCATCACCGTCTCGCTCTGCCCCGGCTGCAAGTCTTTAGCTTTGCGGAAGGCGCGTAGGAGTAATGGAGGGTGTGTCAACTCGGATGTGGTGGGCATTGAGACGTATAATTGTACGACTTCGGAGCCTGCGAGGTTGCCGGTGTTAGTGATGGTGACGCTGGCGTTCAGGCTGAATTCGCCGTTTGAGATAACAGCTTTGGAGAGCTGAAGGTCCGAGTAAGAGAAGGTGGTGTATGAGAGACCGTGACTATCGACACCAGTCAGTTAATTCTGCTAGTTTCAGTCTGCTAGAGACAGAATAACTCACCCAAACGAGAACTGTGGTTTGATGCCTCTATGATGGAAGTGCTTGTAACCCTGTCAAAGGATTGAGCCGAATTCAAACTCCTGAACCAATCAGACTCACAACAAACAAATCCTCGCCATAACGGAGCACACCATTCTCAGAGTGGAAGTGTCCGTGTGCAGCAACATCTTCTAATTTCTTGGGGAACGTCAAGGACAACTTGCCCGATGGGTTTTTCTTGCCGAACAGAACATCCGCAATCGCATCGCCCGTCGCGTTACCCAAGTACCACGAATGAAGGATAGCAGGAACCGAATCTGCCCATGGAAGCGTTATCGACGAACCCTAACACCAACACAGTCAGTTCATTTGGCCAAAACACCCATCTCAAAGGTACTCACGGATTGGGTCACGACGACGGTATTAGGGTTCACCGCAAGCACCTTCTCAATCAACTCGTCCGTCCGTCCAGGCAACCCCAACGTCTTCCGATCATACCCCTCCGTCTCCCAATCCGCATTCAAACCCACAATAGCAAGAACAACATCAGCTTTCTTAGCGATCTCTACAGCTTCAGCCATCTTCACATCCTCATCAATGACTTCTGCACCGCCGAGTCGAACACCGGGGTTGCTGTCCATCACCATTTCGTCTTCGTCACCGTCTGCTGGAGCGCGGACGTTGCAGAACTCGACGAGGATATGGTGTTTGACGCCGGCTTTGAGTGGGACGCAGCCTTTTTCTTCCATGGAACCAGAGCTGAAGAAGGATTGGCCGCGGCGCTGGCGGGTCCAGTTGTCGATGACAAGGTTGCCGTCTACGAAGAGCTACGAAATCATAATTCAGTTGATACGACAGCAACACGGGTATGGTGCTAGCGCACCTTGGCTCGTCCAGCAACAGTCAATCCGAATTCGAACAAACAATCCCGTTCGCGGGGCTTTAGCTCACCCTCGAGTTTCATCGTCCAACGTCTCGTGATGCCCTTGGGAGCCGACGTGCTGATAAATATCCTCGTCTCGTCGACCAGACGCGCCGAGTGGGGCGTGTTGAGTGGTGTCATGCTCTCGTCGTCTTGATGCGCGTACCATGTAGCAGTCCAACCACGTTCGCCCGAGGGTGTGAAGAGCTCGTAGTCGAGTATGGGCATCTCCATGTAGGCTGGAAAATAAAAGTTATAAACATGTCCATTGTTATGATAAAGCCACGTACTGCTAGCGCCCTCGCTATAAAGCACCTCCACGCCCTGAGGAAGCGCAGCCGCAACACCATCATACGGAGACACAAAGTACGACGGCTTGAGTGCCGCAGATCCTCCTCCAGAAAGCACGATAGCTTTTGCGTTCCCTCCGACAATAGCAATCTTTTTGATCTTGTTGGGATTGAGAGGAAGGAGGGCGTTGGTGTTTTTGAGCAACACAATAGATTCTGCTGCGAGTTTGCGCATGAGAGCTGTGTCCTCGGCGCTTTCGACTGTACGTTCGAGACCATCTCCATCGAGGATCTACGAGCCCTATCGTCAATAAAGAGCACACAATAGAATGGAGTGAAATAGTTGTACGCACTTCAGGTGCTTCCTGAGCGACGCGTTTGGCGAGTTCGACGACTTTACGCGCACGTGCTTTGATGGTCCTCACAGTCAATTTCCTCGAGCCAACAGACCTGTTCATGAGATCAAGCGTGCGCCACTTGTTGGTGCCTGGCATCTCGAGGTCGAGGCCAGCGTTGAGACTCAAGTCTATGCTGTAGATACCGAACCTTTTCACCGCATCGACATGAGCTATTACTGGATAGGGGGCAAACGTAAATAATGGAATGGACATACCAATCAGACATGACTAGCCCCTCAAAGCCCCATTCGCCGCGTAGGATGTCTTGCAGGAGGTGCTTATTCTCAGAGGCGTGGGTGCCATTGACACGGTTGTACCTAAAATATGAATGTGCAGATCAGTATCAGCAGAAACATATCGAGGTCCTTCGAGACCCATGGTCAAGTGAAATGCGAACGTACGAAGTCATAAAACACCACGGCTTCGCATACTTCTGGGCAAGCATGAACGGCATGAGGTAAATCTCGCGGAGCGCGCGTTCGCTGAGAACTGAGTCGTATGCCATGCGATCATCTTCTTTGTCGTTGCACCTGTATTAAGTAGTTCTGAGTTAGTATGGACGGGATTTCATGCGGGATTGAGTGAGGTAACGTACACGAAATGCTTGATCGTAGATCCAATACTGCCTTTTTGAACGCCTTTGACGTATGCGGCAGCGATGAGACCTGATAGGAGTGGGTCTTCGGAGAAACTCTCGAAGGCCTGAATAACGAACGAAGCGCAAAATTAGATCGCTTCCACGTAGTCACTCTGGACATGGGACTTACACGGCCACCGAGAGGGTTCTGTAGCGTTCGCGAGTCGTGAATAGGTACATATAAAAGGGTGGGAAGAGCAAACATACGCGTTGGATATTACAAGTCGGGGCGAGAATAACAGGTGCAGCTCTAAGCTTCGCCTCGCCTGCGAGCAACTTCAATCCAACCTCCTCGATCAGTTCCGTATCCCAGGTCGCTCCAAGTGCGGTAGCAGAAGGCAGGCACTTTGCTGGTGTACTCATGAAGAAGTGGTTGCCTCTGATACCTGCATATATGCGTCTAGTTACGGCATTTTCAACGCAGGAGTGAAAAGGACGCACCATTAGGGCCATCGCTGACCTTGACAGCAGGTATCCCGAGGCGGGGGATCTCGTGGGTGTGCCAGAAACCAACACCAGCAGTAAGGAGGATGGCTTCGTCTGTTGTGAGCTTGTCGACGATATCGTCAACGTCTGCGTTTGCGAAATCTGACCACGGCATGGCGAATTTTGAGTGCTAGATTGTGACGAGGTTCAGATGGCCTGACTTCTGACAGGTATGTGAGTGCGATAAGAGCAAGGAGGAATTTAATGAATGGTGTCTCCTTCCCCGCTCTCATATACTGCTCATACGGTCAGGTCTGCACGTGATATTTCCGAGGTTTCTCCGAGCCCGAGGATTGGCCGCCCTTTTTGCGTCCTGTGTGGCTTTCGTGGAACAGTCTGGAGCAGTAATACATACTTCCAGACAAATTCACGACAGCCATATGGAAAATACTGCGAGGCCGGTCCGCGGTTTAACAATTTGACATTTGCTTTGAGGGACGTAGTTCCAGAAGACATGCAATGTTTAGGTATTTTCGACGAGTCACATTCTGAGAAGTACTGCGCAGACGGGAGTCGCCATGCTCGAGACAAAGTCTGCGAGAGATGCGAGGATGCGGCGACCGCCGATGACAAGGTGAGGATTAATATTCCCAAGAAGTGGATGTTGTGGGGCAGATGGTCCGGGCCGTTTGCAATTAAGGGTTTACAATTGCAGACTTCTTGATGGGAGATACCTAAGGAGACAGTAGTAACACGTGCTGAGGCCTGCTGTAGAGGGAAGTACGTCCATGTGGTTCATGCCAGCTATCTATTTGATTCATGTTAGCAAGCTCTCATCCAGGAAAAATTCAGCATATGCAATTCAGTTATCGTTTGAAGTTACACATGTGAACGTTGAGCAACATAGCTAGAGAGTGAATGCATGGAAGGTTGTCAAATTTCAACAAGGAGAATCGTGTCAAAGTTGATTTCTTGACCACGTGACACAATAACGCGTACTCCTGAGGCACGCATGTTTTTCTCTCTCACATTGCTTTTATTGGCCACTTGCTCACCGGCACTTTGATAAATTGTATGCGCAGAACGCTATATGCATGTTGAATCAAGGCACCTCTCGCTCATCGAGGACTTGTCGGTAGCTTAACGAACCATCAAATTTAACATTCGCCGACCTCTGGAGTGAATTTTGATTCGAACACTGCACTTGTCTTCCCGAATCTCAGTAACTGGGTGTACTCGTGTGGAATCATTCTGTATTCTAATGCTCTCCTGCAAGTACCGTGATGGTGAAGTTTTGTGGATATCTAGTAGGAAAGGACTGGTAGATCCAGCGAGCGATTGATCAGGGCTATCGGGATCCCGAGACGCCACAAGAAAGCCTCAATACCGTTCTTCTGTCGGGGAGGGAGGTCAGATTGCGGACGGGTGTTTCTGCTCCACAAAGTTATGCCTAGTTAAGATCTCGGAGGGGAAGTGCTGTTCAAGTTGATGCATTGCCTTCGCCTCAATAGATCCTTGTGAACGGTTACCGACTAGCGCGCCGCCGGAGGAGAAATATAAGGATTTGAAGGAACTGCTGCACCCGCCTCGCTGGTTCCCGGAAGCTTGAAGTTTCTGAAACGCTACGTCAGTACACTGCTCACATCGATGGAAGAAAATAATAGATATTTCTCCTGCAGACACCCAACAAATTCTTGTCGCACGAACTGTATAAAGCAAGAACTACAAGTGCGGTACCAAACTAGTCCACAACACCGCCTTGTACGCGTCAGGAGAAATATTTCGTAAAGTGGTGACCATAAGTACCAAGAGGATGATACGTGCTGCGACGTACAACATGGCACATAGTACAAGAAATATGAACTGGATGCCCACAGAATGTGTGGTGAGCATCATCCTAATCGTTATCAGGAATCCAAACTAGGGTACGCAAGTTATAGCGATGGCACTCATGCGCCATAGGACCTGTTCTTGATGTGTGGGGAAGGCAAAAATCCAAGCCATACAATGAATGCTGCGAAAGATGGTTGAAATAAGCAATCCAGTAAATGTAAGAACCCTGTAATCCGACTCTCCTAGGTTGATGCCGCCCCCAAATGTCAGAACCCGCAGCTTTCGAGAGGTGGGTATTTTAGAGAAATCCATCGGGTCGCAAAGTGCGACTAGGACGGCAATCAAGATCCTCCAAAACACATTCAGGTCATCATCTTTAGAGACACTAGCAGAGATAGTCAGTAGTAGTAAAATTGATCAAGGCGCAGACATGCTCTTTAATGTAGTCCTCTGGTTTTGCCTCGGTTGACTTCCAGTATACTGGATGAGGATATTGTACGTCGAGAGGCTTGTTCCACTAACTGATCAGTTGTTGGAGAATCGTCGCTCTGCGGGATATAAAATGTTTTAGTATGGTGTGGGTGTGTTTGAGGGCTTTCTCGACGAATCACACTCTGGGCCCTGAGGCTACGTAGACGGGAGTCACGGCTACACTCGAGGCAAAGTCTGCCAGAGATGCAACGACCGCCGATGAAAAGGCGGAGATTTCGGATATTCCCAAGAAGTGAATGATGTGGGGCAGATGATAGTTACGTACGTCTATGTGGTCAATGCCAGCTATCTATTGCTTGTTGGAGATTTGTGTCAGCAATATCTCATCTAGGATAAATTCAGCAGAGGCGTACGCATTTCAGTTATCATGCTATGTGCGGAGGCTACCACACATATTTTGAGCAACGTTTATTCAAGAGAGTGGATGCATGAAGGATTTGAAGGATTTACAACGCTGTCAACGAACAAGGTTAACGAACATCAAAGTTGATTTCTTGGCCACGTGACACAGCGACGCGTCAAAACCCTATACCCAAACTCCATCACACACATCCATGACTCGTACTGCCAACATGCTACGCGTACCAGGGACACAACCACACTCACACAGCGAACCCCCTTCTCCTTCCGATTTCCTACAGCCATCCTCTTCTGGCGGTCTCACAAAGCCATGTCGCCAACTCTCAGCATCACGCGGGACACCATTCATGAACGCCCGTGCCCTTTCATCATCCGCAGTCCCAAAAAAACAACTCCCTGAAAAACGCCCCAAACCAACAACCCCGCTTCCAAACATCAACACCAATACCAATCAAACACCCCGCGTCCGCCCAGTACGAACACCAACGCCCCCTCCAGAAAAGGTATGTCTGCCCGCCAGCCTCAATACAACCCCAAGAATCAACCCGCTCACTCTCTTGCATAAGCCAATGGCTACTATCCTCCCTCCTCTCCCCAAATCCCTCTACACAATACACGACTGTCCACCCACCAGCCATATTCTCAGGCAACTTCGACCTCTACGGCATGTACCTCCCCTTCCTCGTCAAAGCCTACTTCCCACAAGGCAGCACAGCCCCAGACTACGCCGCAGTCTACGATACCATCCTCGCCTACCAGTCTAAACACGACTATACCGCTCGCTGCTTCCTCTCGCTCAGCTCTGATGCAGGGAGGGCGGAGAGCGCTTCTGTGTTTGATCCGATGATGGAGCGCCCTTTTGATGTGCTGATTGGCAATTTGAAATATCGCAAGGAGCTCACGTTCACATCGAGTGAACGCTCGTCTTTCCTCGCTCCTGATAATAGCCCTGTGTCGCCAGGCGTCATTGGACGAGCGGGACTCCCTCCTCAATGTGGCGTCAAGAACGCGAAGGGGATATGGAAGATGAAACGTGTGTGGGTTGGGGAGGTCGAGGAAGGAGAGGTTGAGGGAGTTGGCAATGGCGATGAGATAGCTGAATGCGCGGACGCAACCGCAGGTCCCTCGACGAAATCAACCGCAGCCAAAAAGACGACCAAAAGCGTTCAAAAAGAACTCTTCGAAGGCTACTTCTCCTTCAGCGTCAGCTACGACAGCATGTACAGAAAAGCAGGTCATGGAAGCGGGTCAATGTGCCGGTTCGCGTTTTGGGGTGTTAGAGCAATGAAGGATAATACGGGCAAGGAGATTGGGTTGGGCCCAGGGAAGGGCATTGGAGCGGGGATGAGGAAGGGGTTGGGATGGGGATGAGGAGGATTGGACGGTTTGAATTTTGTTCGTATGTACCTCGTGTCTTGGACCTTGGTGTGCCCTCAGCCTGTATCATGCAAGCCAGTTACGAATACCCCTGTGCATAGATCAATATCGATACTTCTGGCATGTATACATACCTCATCGCAGCACAAAGTGCTCTTGATTATCGAAAATAGCAGCTAGACACCAGTTCTCCGTCATCTCGTACAACGAGCAGCAACCGCATATCCATTCTGCAGTCAATACGAGCCTGAGGAAGAGCAATCCTCGCCGCACAATCGTTTACGCCCTCACCAGCCTCAACAGTTAACTTCGTATAACACGCTACCATTCCTCCTTACGACAGCCGTACACCGCACAAGACTACTTCACATTGCTAATTCAGCTAACTGCGATAAATTAGAGAAAGGTAGCATATAACCTTCGAAACCACATACTCACCTCTTCCAACCCCACTGCCCTCCAGATCACTCTTCCACCGACCAGGAGAATCTGATACCGGTGTTAAAAGTCTTGATTTCTTTCGCAAACTACCCCTAGAAAAAACATGAGCTTCCTGCTCATAGAACTGATCAAGTAAACACACACCACCGAGTCCTCCGCTTCCCTCGAAAGTCTAGCAGAATCAAGTGTTAAGCATGGGAAACTATCGCAGCTTCACGAGAGCGAACGTAATTGAACGTATTCCTCACGACATGAGGAGTCGTAGAGTACAATGCACAACTCGGATGTAGTGGTGGGTGGAGTTGGTCTGTGGTCTGCTTGGGATGAACGAACGTGGTCAGTTTGCGCATTCTTGTCGGAATTAGATACATCGGAAACGATGGTCTGTAGTTTATTAGACTTGGGCGTACCTCATAGAATGGATCCTTGATCCACCGTTTTAACAAGAATGTCCGATATAGTGTACACGGGTTATTGTCTGGGTGACAGTCAGACACGAAGTGAACGGGCCTTTCCTGACAGGAAACGACCCACCAGGGCTATGACCGCATCCACACATTCAGCATAAGGGAATGGTCGGACGTTGGTCATGCTTGGCTGCCTCTGTATAACTCGGTGTTGAATGTTTGAATTTTCTCATGATCAAGCTTCAAGTCCAGCACCGCATCAATGGTTGTAGGCTGTACCTGTACCGTAGGCCTATAGTAAGTTTTAGTAAAAAAAATGACATGCTTGTGGGATATGACTCTCACCAAACTTACGACTATAAACCGATGGTCATTGCAAAGAAAGACAGCAAGAAGAAAGTCGAATTGTGTTAGCGAATTCATCACAGCTCAGGACCAAGTCTGGCCCCATCACGGTTTCCTCTGTGAGGCGCCTGATTAATATTGCCGATGAGGGTGTGTAAGGAGAACTAGCGTTCTTCACGCACCTGGTTATACGTTCTGGGTGAATTTGTTGAAGTAGCACAATATCAACACACGTAATGTTAGCAGTCACTTCACAAGTGTTCAGCAGCCGGTTTCAATGGTGTCGTCCACAAAACCGATGTGACTCCACTACGCTTGGATAGAGAGAACGGCGTGGTGCAGGAATATCAATGTATCACAGTAAATTGACTGGACTCGCTGGACACGTATGAGCATTGCAACTAATCCACTCTAGAGGTCACATACCTTGATAAGCACAGAGACTTCGATTCAATGCTCCGGGTAGAGAGATAGAGATGGAGGTCTAAAATTGCAGCATTTCAACAAGCGATTGACCATAAACTTACATCCTCAATCTCATCTTCCTCTGAAGAGTCCAGTTCAAGACAATAAGACACCGCCGATGTAGAAATATGCGAACAGATATATCAGTACAATGCATGATGCACAAGTGGTTATTGCCGATATGCTGATCTATGATGCAGCCTTGTATATCTCTCCATGCTTCCCCTTCGTGTAGAACGCGTCCATCCTCGAGATGATGGTATCTAGGGCAGTAATCCAATCGTTGAGCGCCTTTTCAAGCTTATCCTGCGGGCATGGCTCTCCGCTTGGGTTTGCTGCGAGCTTCTCATAAAAGTTCTTGCGGGGCGGGCAATATCCAATAGCGGTCTACATCAATCAATTCCAATCGGAATAAAACCATGGATCGCCTGAGAAATGAATGACGAACGTTGAACATCAACCCTGCAGCTTTCATCATAGCGCCATGTACGCTGAAAAACCCCGCGCCGCGGTGAATAGGTCCGAGAGTGACATCGTATCCCTTCGTGAAACAGACTTTGAGTTCGTCTGATGGGTTGCTTTGTGCTTGTTGAAAGGATTTGCAAGTGAACGCGAGGGAACGGAGAAGCCACATGAGGCCCTCCGTTGCACTCCCCACTTTGTTATTATTCTCATTAGACACTAGCTTCTCCAGCGTCGCAGACAGTGACGGGGCTGCATTGTACCGGTCACGGACTTTCTGGTAGGGGAGTTGGATGAGCAACCTATTATAATCGGTGAATCTTGCATGGAGACGCTAACCTTGATGTTACCCTGGATATCGCTGATGACAGGCGAGAAAGCCTTTGAACCTACGGAGCTCATGAGGCTAGTGAGTTCCTCTGTACATTCTCAATCAGGCGCTGCAGTGGATGGCGACGTAGTGATACGAACTAAGCATGAGGACGACACCATCCGCAGCTTCGAGGAATGCAAGAGTATCAACACCAGCATCGGTGATGAGGACTTGGTCGAACGACTAGGAAACATATTCATCGGGTGAACGGTCATCGTCAGGGTGGATCTTGAGCTTACCTTGACTGTTTCAATGAAGGGTGCCATGGTGGATGATCGGGATCAAGTCGCTAACCCTAACCCAACATCCTGTGCGACAACCCAAATCGATCGATACCCCTTGGCCATTCCTTCACCAAGTCTTCACGCTCGTCTCGCTTCATTGGCTGACAGCACCTGCGGGTGATATCCTCTCAGATTTCCGAGCGCAGAATAGGCATGCAACACATTGACGTGCGAAGGACAACACTATTCGGACTAGCAACCTTCCTACTTATCCATCCATAATGACGCCACATCAAACATCAAAGCTTCAAAGCTTCGAAGCTTTCTCGTCACTCTCGCCTTCGTGCACGCTCTCGCACCATCTAGTCTCCACTCGGCTCACCTTTCAGTTTTCTTGCTCATTGGAGTCGTCTGGGGTTGGTTCGCACACCTGTTACCCAGTGCTCGATCGAATTCAGAGTTGCTATCGTATTGATATACTGTAAGCGCAGTTACGGCGATGTGCTAGTGGGCAATGGTAGTCAGGACTCAGCGATATGCATGCAAATTGTGTCGCAGGTGTTAAACCAACATATAACGCTACGTGTCAGTCAGATACAGACGGGAGAGGTTGGGGAGAGGTAATGAATCCATGTCTACCAATAGCGTTCCTGCGTATAAACAGAGTGCCTAGAATAGAAGACATGAGTGAACTTGATAGTCCATCGGGAACTCGTTGTGAACATCGAAGCTGCAACTACATAGCTTGCACGGTTCCAAGAATGATGACAGAATTTCCAAAGTAATTCATGCGCTGAAAGCAAATTTGAAGGTCATTCAAACCAATCGATACAAATACACGATACGAAAACATTGTACACACTCATCGATACACGTTTCCATCCAGTAACGCAATGAATAACATCCATTCGAGGTCACAGTCATCAGAGGGAGGGCGAACATGGCGTGAAGCTTCGAGTACGATGTAAGATCCAAGAGATGCAACTAACTACGCAGACTGGGATGGTCAAAGAATGCAAGACGAGATGGTCCTGCCTTGGGCTGTGACTGGCTAGTCATTGGTTTCAACTCAATTTCGTCGAGCTGGAAAAATTGAGCGCTGTAAAATTGAATCAGGTGATATGTTTGCCAAATAGATAAGATGATCGTACCGCGTAGAAGACGCAGGTGTGAGAGCATTGAGATGATTGTGTCGCGTAGAAGTAGGTATGGGAGTATTGAGGATGTTTTCCTCTTGTTCGTTGTTCAAGAAGTCGGCATCATAACTGGCGGTGGCGGATCCGGCTTCCTCTGGAAACAGCTGAGGCAACAAAGGAGCGAGTATGGGCGTGCTCCATCGTCCACACCAACAACATCAGCCTAGGGAAGGATGTGGTCGGATGTCAAGAACTCGATACAATTGGAGGTAACAAACATATGTGGCTTTCCCGAGAGGAACATCAGCGACTTGCGGAGCCTTTTGTTTTGGTTGAGGCTCCTTTTGCTTCCTTTTCTTGGGTAATGACGGCCGAATGCCACCAAAAAATGTCCTGAGATCATGCAACGGAGAAGATGAAGAACTCTCGGCATGAGTGCGTGGCATTGCAGAGTAAGTAGCTTGTCCACGAGGCCTGTTGGTGCGCTCGTAGTTCGGTGCCTTATTGCGGCGCTGACCAGGAATCTCCGACTGAGAGTATATGAGACAAATAAAATAATGACCATGGGAGCACGTGCATTAAGAAGCCCTTTCATATTCTGGTGAAGAGTTGGTACCTCCAGGAGTTAAAAGCAGTGTTAGAAGACGCACCCGTTGCTTTCCCCGTGAAGGACCAGCCTGGAATGGTTGCGGGTGAGCTTTCACGTGGAGAGAGATAAATGTTGAAAGGAGTCACCTCATTGTTATCGCCGAGAGAATCACTCCGCACTCCTGCGAACACCTGCTCTGGTATCTCCCATTGCGATATTTTGTCGTCACCGCCAACGCCGAATACAGAGAGTCCGTCGACCGAGAACGCAACACGAAACCCCCAATCCGAGTGTTGAAATCTAGCAACTTCTCTTCCTGTGGGGAGCTTCCACAAGCAAACTGTGTGGTCGGCAGATGCTGATGCGAGAAGGGTTCCAGCTGGGTTCAATGCGATCTGATTGATGTCCTTGTCGACATCATGACCACTCCAGGAATCACCAGCCTGTTTCCAGGTAGAAGTATCCCAAGAGCGAATGACGGGATCTTTGTAATCACCCGCTGAGAGGAGATGGGCGCCATCATGAGTCCAGATTAGAGAACGGTTCGATGCATTGTTGAAGTCGGCATGACCCTTGAATTGAGCAAGACGCTCTGATCGGTCCAAGTCCCATATTTGGATATCTTCAGTAGTAGCAACGCCGAGTTGGCCGGTCGGAGAAAATTGGACGAAAAGGACAAGCGCGCCACACAAGAGGGGAACACCTTTCCTCTGCCAATTGCTGGTGTTTCGTAAAATGACTCTGCAATCCATTGAACCGCTGGCTAGTATACCGCCATCAAGGGAAACGTCCAAAGCAACTACAAGCTTTATGTGACCGTCCAAGGGACCTGCAATGACCTTCCCAGTCTCAGTGTCACGCACTGAAAGATTCCACGGATACTCTGTCTCGTCATCCAAATCCGCGTTTGTGTTCTCTCCCTCGGCGCTAACCACATGTTTCCCGTTTCGCAATATTATAAGTGCGCAGACATACTTCTTTGCCACCCACTTCTTCACTTCTGTGCCATCATCAAGCCTCCAGATGCGTATTGTCTTGTCGGCAGATCCGGTCGCTATTCTCTTGCCATCTGGAAAAGTTGCAATACAGGTGATTTGCTCCTCATGACCTTCAAATGTCTTGATAGGCTCTTGGTATGATACGGCTACTTGCTTGTCGTCTTTCATGTTCAGCTGCTCTACAAGGAAGGTACTTCCTCGTCTATTATGCCTAGCGGGAAGTTATAAACAGCCAGAGGATATTGTGAGTAGCCTACCTGTTGCTGGAGTGAACGTTTATGGTCAAAGTGCATTGGTAGTGCAACGATGACAGCAGGCTTACAGCATGGCGCAGCTCATCACACGAATGTCACCTCCTTGGCTATTTAAAGGCGCCAGGGTTCACCACCATTGTACCAACGTTGATTCATGCAATGACGCATTTATACACAGGGAGTTCGGGCTGTACTTATACCCCAAATGCATTGGCCATTTGACGCACCACTGACTCAGACTCGCGCTCTCCTTGAAGGAAAAAAAATGACATTACCTCACAACATTGAATTCAAATTTCCACTCAAGGAGCTTCCAGGAATGGAACTCGAGAGAACTCACGATTCTCCTAATTACAGCGGTGGTTTTGGTGACGTCTGGAAATGCAGCTGGTCCCCTTCTTCTGTAAATCTCCCGGTCGCAGTGAGTTCAACTCCAAGCACGCACGCTCGCACAGCTATATTTTTATGACTAGGTTGCAATCAAGGTAGTGAGGGTCGCTGACTCCGGTCAAACAGAAATTTTAGCAAAGACGGCCCAGGTAAGGTCTCACATTACAAAACATGCTATTGCTTACAGACTTTCTGCCTTACAGGGCATACGGCGCGAGGCCTACGTCTGGGTCAACTTGAAAGATGACCATGTCCTTTCGCTTCATGGAATCACAGGTGGTTTCGGAGTCTTACCAGCTTTTGTTTCGTCGTGGGTGACAAAAGGATCTCTCGATAGCTATTATCGCCGATGACCCGCACCTGAATACAGATCATCATAAACTCACCGGGGTCGTACCCTAGGACAGTCTGCAGTACTCAGCAGTTGAAGCTGGAGTGCTCGGTATAGTAGTATGTACTCCTTTTCTCGTCAAGCTTCCAGTCTGAAAGCGAACTTCGAAGACTATGTCTATTTCTCGTGACGTTAATGCTCAGACCACCTTTGAACTTGGCTTTAACCTGATCATTGACTCGCCTTCGAACTACGCAAAGACCGAGCTTGTAAACTGCATGTAGCCATTACGTTGCCAGTGTGCCAGAGAATCCTGGCTGGTGAATGGAGTCACGGAATATAAATAAAGGCCTTGACTCGAGACTACGCGTGTGCATACATATTGAAATTGCAGAGTATAACTGCAGGGTACGAAGCTAGAACAATCACTGAGGGCTACCATGAAGGCTCGGGCTGATTACCACTCTTCGTCTAGTTGCAACCTCATCATCTGCTGCCGAATCTGCGTCCTCAGGTCCTCAACTTCATCAGCCTTGATGGAGTGATCCTCGATCAATCCAACAATCTTCTCAAGCGCATCGTCTCTTCCACTAGGAGTCAGAGGCATATGCCAGGATTTGATCTTCAAGTGGACACCGCTTTTGCCAGTCACCCCATAGGTTTTGATAGCAGCTTTGATGGCACGACGAGAGACGGGCCCTGCCGGCGCTAGCAGGAATAAGATCTGCATGATGCATGTTAAATCTACGATGTACGTCATAATCCGACGCAAGACAATGTCTCTAAATCAGTTGATGAAGCTATTCTGGACGCCTTGCAGATAGCGAAAGCACGCATTCACTTACGTCCGTTGATAGGTATCATAAGCCCACTTAACCACGACCACCCCTGCGGCAATCGACGCAACGATCGGTAGAATCGGGCCTGCTAGCGGCAGTTTCAAAATTTCCGCGACAACAGAGAGGCCAAATTGACTGCCAAGACCTCCATAAAATGAAAGTATCTCAGAGTACAACAACTCACACAGCTTGCGCTAGATTTGGAAGGTCGGTGTTGTCCAGATCATTTAGAATCTGCGTTCGGAACTTTTCATCGGCTAAATGCTTTGCAGAAACATGTTAGCGGCCTGTGATATCAACCCATATAAGATAGACATCATACACAGTAAGGGTCATTGAAGTTCCAAACGTCAATGACGTCCTTGTGAATCACGGACAAACAGTCCTGCATGGTGAAGCCTGCGAAGTCCATGCTCGAACCGAGACCTCTCCAATACCCTAAAATTTCAGAAGTCACAAAAAGGCGGCGTAGGCTGTCACAGGACTAACTTTTCTTGCCAATGCTGTGAAGAGTAAAGTGTGAAATTAGGACTTAAGAAAGGGGCAGTGATCGTGCATACGCAATTGATGCCTTAACTTTAAGTCCAATATCGACTCGCTGGGCTATCATCATAGTTAATGACGCTTCAAATTTTTCGACGTTCGTGGTCGTGAGTTCAACCAGCTCTCTTATGGTGTTCTCATACCCATTTTTTGCTGCCAAGGTACATTAGAATCGGAGACTAGAAAGATGGAGGTTCTTACTGGAAATTGTTGCATGTAGGATGTCACTTCCAACCTCATGCTCAAGTGGCTGGACACACAGATTATTCAAAGAGTCTCTTTTAAGCTGATCGAGTGCAGCTGCATCCCATCCTCCCGATTTCATGGCGTTGAGCTTCAGTGTGTTGACAAGAAGATCCTGCTTGGTAAAGACAACAATGATCGGAACTACAGTTTGGAACATGAGTTACGAGAAGACGAAGTGTAAACGGTTCGCACTATCGCCCAATAATTCCTTTCTCGATTTTAGAAACTCCTCTACTCCACTCTCAAGCAGCCGCCCACTGGCATGAGGTATCGAGAGGCAGAGCCTTCAAACAGTGTCAGCATGGCAGGTGGCGGCGGTAGCTCGAACATCATACCAGACCGCATGTATCTTGTCCTTCAGTTCGGGCATTTTGCGTCGGCGGGCAATGAACTCTTTTGCATCCGAAAAACTGGCGCTGTCGCCAGATTCGAATCCCTCACTATCGTGCAGGACAAATCGCCCGTTTTCTGGTGCGATGAACTCCTTATCGATATCCGTTTTGCCCCGCGTGTGTTCAGAGACATGCTGTAAAGGGTGGGCGAGCGTCAGTATCTCTCGTCCGCGCTACTAATTCGTCAACTTAACCACTTCGTTTATCTTAAATGCCTGGTGGATCAACGAAGACTTGCCGACTCCTGTCTAAAGAGCGGGTGGGTGAGTGATCTATGCTTGAAGACATTGAACAGACAGACCTTCCCTATTACCAGTAGTCGGAACCTTGGACAAATCTGTAGGATACTATTGCTAGTCGGCTGCAGCCGTCTGATATCGTAATGGCCGATATGGACGGGGATTATCAGTTTGTTGTCGAGACAAGGGAAGTATAAATACACTGACGATATTGTAATGATGATAGTGATCTTCCGCTGAGTCGTCCGATACTCTGTCACACCAAGCTATCAACTTAATGCGACACAGCTTGAGACGAGTGGGTTCACCTCGTTTACCATCTTGATCCACTGCGTTGGACAGGATGTCTTTTCCGTCCAATGAAAACTCCACGATAGTCTTCCGCACAGTGTGATGCTGACAGTGCACAATCAAGGAAACCCGCTCAGTACTCACCGCGCTGTGGTAAAATGTTCTGACCGAGTTCCTGGAACTATATGTGGGACTCACATGGCGGGATCGAACTTTGCACTAAGGTCTTTGTCGTTTCCCGAGCCACGGCGGATTTCCCGTCGCTGTGAATCAAGCTCCAACTCGACAAATTCAACCTTCTTCTTCGAAGCATCGTCGGGGCAGATGACGATACCTAGGAAGATGTTTAAGGGTGAAATACTCTTTAAGTTTAAGTGGGAAATTCTCACTGGAAATGTGGAGAGGAGCAGAGGAGGAGGCTATCGCAGTGGTATTTTCAGACATTGTCTTGTGAGTCAATGGGAGGGAGGTTAAGGAGGGAATAGATGACAGCCGCAAATACAGCAGTAGCCACTGGGGTGCATCCTTCGTATTAGCGCGTATTTTGCACGTGCTGAATGCACCTCGAGGTAGCTTGCTGCACAGGAACTAGGAGGGGTGGGAAGTTACTATTGTATTACGTATACTCACAGCCCAGGGTTCATGCACCTATACCAGGGCCTACTGACTTATCCGCCGTTCAGGCGGTTCAGGAGCAACTTATTGGACATTCGCTGCGTGCGGTTTTAATCCATCCGCATTCAGTACCACACAAGCAGCCATAATTCGCTGCGAGTATCTCACTCCCGCGTCTCGCAACCCCGCAGAATTGCCTGGCATGATATGGTCGGCAGACTTGTCTCGCACACCATGTTCGCGATCTTTTTCGGTGACTCCACGTTCGCCCCGAAATGCATGATCGACGGGGTGAACATTCAGGAATACCTTCAGACGCACTTCGCAAACGCTTTTGGAAAGTTGGCGGAGCGAGTGGCAACAGCTGGGGACCTTCTTGACGAAGTTGTCATTGGGTGGGACAGCATGAACGAGCCAGCAGAAGGGCTCATCTCATGGAATGACCTCAATGCGTATCCGGTGGAACAGGGTTTCACACTCAAGTAGGGCACCGTTCCGTCACCAGCGCAGAGCTTCCGTCTCGGTATGGGCCAGGGTGCAGACTCTTGACAACTACACTTTTGGCTCCATGGGTCCAAAACGTGATGGCAGTGTCACCATCGACCTTAACGGTGTCAAGGCATGGTCAGATCCCTCTACGGAGCCCGGAGGCATTCACCCACACTGGGGCTGGAGACGCGACCCTGGTTAGACGCTCGGTACTTGCGTACGGGCTTTGCACGATGTATGGGACGTGCAGAGTGGATATATTATGCAGCCGGATTATTTCGCACATGTTCCAGGAACAGAAGCACCCGTACATTTCCTGCGCGCTTTCTTCCTTCCCCAATGTGCTCTTTACCTGAAGGCAGTTAGAAGCCCACCATCCATAAGCCATCGCGTTCGTGCAGCTCCCCATGTTTGCACATCCTCCCCCGATACCAGAAGAGATATTACAGGGCAGGGCATGCTATTCAACGCATTATTATGATGGCCTGACACTCGTTACACGCCACTGGAACTAGTTCAACGCTGATGCCCTTGGTCTCCTGCGGGGAAAATATTCAACCCAAATACAAGCTTTGTGCATAGGTGAACGCGCCATATGGAACAGCCTTCAGAGCCAGCTCGGCTACCTGAAGGCAGACGCAACGCAACTAGGTGCGCTTCCACCTACCGGCCCAGCATGATACCCGACTATCATTGGAGAAATTGGGACGCCTATCAATATGGATGTCAAGCGCTCGTATGGATACACCGATGGTGGCAAATACAAGGTTGATTACTCGCGGCAAGAGCGTGCGCTTGATGCAAGTTTGAACGCGGCGGACGGCGATAACTGCTTGAACTGGACGGTGTGGACGTGGTGCCCCGATAGTTCAAACCCTTGGGGGAATGGGTGGAACATGGAGGATCTCAGCCTATTGTGTAACGACTTGCGTGCAGGAGAAGCGGGAAGGGTCCCGGGCATCCAGACGCCGTTCAAATCGTCAATGGGTTCATTAGCGCCAGCATGAGCGTCGACTCTCAGCACATCAACTCTTCCAGTATATCCTTCGCCTTACGCCAACTCTAGTGTCGAAGACGGCGAACCTGTGAAGTGCGATCCCGCCTCTCTCCTATCGTTCCTTACGAACGGTGCCACGCGCCGTGCGCGTTTTCTGTCGTCCGTAGCCAATAGCGGTCGTTGGTACCCCTACGAACATCCAGTTCGACATCTCCAAAGCGACCTTCCGCCTTACTCTCAAGGTCAACGCAGAGGATACACCTGTTGACGAAGACGATGACATCGTACCTGGAAAGAAAGGACTGTACAAGGATAGTTCCCTGCCCACCGAAATTTTCCTGCCTCTCGTTCATTTTGCCTTGGATGCTGGCTTGAGCAAAGCCCTCGGTTCTGCCGCCGAGGACCAAGTCGACGATTTCCTAGACGTTGGGCAGGAAGGGATGAGCCACAGTTCATCAGGGACAACGACACCTCGCGCGTACACGTCATCGACGCTCACTCTTCCTTTGACTTCTCAAGCTGCGCTGTCGCCAATCATATTCAAGGACGACTTGTACGACATCGCTGTCACTGCATCCGAGGGCCGCCTGGAGCTTCTCGCGTCGGAGCAGAAGCTTCTCTGGTTCTACACTATACTGACGGAGAAGGCAGACAAGGAGCTGACGGTAGAAGTGCGCCGTTCATCAGGTGCCCTCAAGGCCAACTCACTCGGGCTTGGATATACCACTGAGAGCAGAGCGAGAGATGGGTGCGCTGGATGGCTGGAGCAGGCGGGGTTGTTGGGCGAAGGGTGGTGCCCTAAGGGTTGTTCAATCATGTGAAGTGGCGGTTATTTTATCTTATGCTCTTTCCTCGACACATCTAATGGCAGCGGTCAATACATTCTTTGTAGGAAATAATCATATGTATCGTACATACCTCTCGGCTGCCTCTTGTTAGTACTCATTTCCATCACACAATTTGCTTGGCCATCGATCAGTATTGATCAGTATTTACTGCGACTGAGCAAGTTCAGTAGTCATAATGCATCTACCCGCGTGCCCATACCACCAACACCATTAATAGTTTGCTAGCTAAGATCACCGCTCTTGTAAACAAGATACTCGACGCACCTGTGGAATAATCAGATATCCTCCTGGGTTAAAGAAGAGCACTGACTATTACTGGAAAGGTCAATTCACGGCTACAAGATCTTATGGTCTGGAGCTGTTTGGAGCTAATGTGATTGCCACTTCTGCTCACGATGATCGTTCCGTAATTTTCATCCAGTATGTCGATTTCACGACGCCAGGTTGAATTCATATGTAATGATCTGCTTACACCCTGTCGGGATATTTGGTGGAAAAGATAAGTTTACTAAGAATTCCCGCACATACGCATTCAGAACCTAAAAAACCCTCCACTGTTGTAAGGCGTCCCTAGATACAACTCCAACATAGTTGTTGGGAGGAAACGAGGAATCTTGTACTGGAATGTCCTCCGCTTCCTAAAACGTCTCCTTCGAAACTAAGAAAATCTTCCAGTGCGACAAAGAGATGCAGTTGATGATAACTGAGTGCAGACTACACCATGACGGAATATTTACAACAGTATTGATGTTGCTCATCGTCAATCTCAAAGGAGGAACTATAAGCCCGTTGGCTTACCTGAGTTCCCATAATCAGCATAAATACTGTCCGAGATAATGAAGCGTGAGCTTTCATTATCACTGCCTTTTGGCGTAACGGTTAAGGGACGACAGTATTGACTCTTTATTTACAGGATCTTTTCGTTTAGTCTAACCCTAACCCTACATCACACTGAGTCGAATGAAGACAGTCGAAGTTCCTTCTTACCTTGGTACTCTAAGGCATGCTGGCACGCGCTCTACATAGCGTTCAGCAAAGCCACAACTATTGGTAAAATCTGTTGTCACCGTTCTCGCACTGTTAATCGAGCTAGAATCACATACCTATGAACAATCACTGCATCAGTAGTAAGTTCTGGTCCTTACTGGTCTGCACTCTAGCTGAGCATCGCTAATCGACATACTGAAAGCCGACCACACTTGCCTTGCAACTCCAACTGCCGAGTCACCTACCCTGCCTGCCAGCGTACATATTGAAACGGATTATTCATCTGGACGGTCTACCACTAGCGATACTGCCGTCTGTCCTGACTCGATGACCCGTACTTGTTCATAGATGATCATAAATTCACCAGGCTCGCAGCGGATGGTTTGGAGCACCCTCTATGATGGACGGAAGAATGGATGTGATAGGGACTAAGCTGGACGGAAATATATTAACGGTGCGTCCCTCGTCATGAGCCCAATCGATCCCTGTGCTAATCTAACCTCTATTCCCCATCCCGCTTGTCAACTTATTTAGGCGGTACCTAGGTCGTGCCTACACCCAAACCTACACTTCATGATGCTCTTACATACTCCCGCCTCATTTCCTGTCGGTGTGGCTTGCTGTCCACCTCGTCCTCGCTCGTTTATTCTTGTCGATACGCGAAATTGTGTTCAACTATGAGACAATAATACAATACTATGATTGCCTTTTCAAGGATCTCTGCTTTGGGTTCACGACGCTCTCCCCGAACGTTCATGTACACGACTTGATTCACCCGGGCGGCGTGATGTCCTGACGAGCATCGACAGGGTTGTCAGTCGTGTCCGTCGTCACGCCGCAGTCAAGTCGCTCCTGAAAGTAAGAATAAGCAACGATCACTTTGACGAGCGCGAGTACATTTCACAATGTAGAAAACGGTATAACGAGAGCGGTAAAAGGGGTGTTGAAACCCGATAGTACAGTCTGCGACACTCAGCAGTTGAAGCTGGAGTGCTCGGTATAGTAGTACATATCATTGGAATGAACATCGGAACTTGGAAAGCAAGAGACAGCGGTCTGCACCACTCAGTGCTCAGTATCATAGTGGCACAACATGGCATGGAGCATCGTTCTACTTCCTCGCTGCCAAGTCCTTTGCTGCAGGCGACTGGTAAACAGTGTCGGGTTCGATACGAGGTGAGGGACTTACACAGGCGATTTTCGAGAATGAACTCGAGAATCTTCTTCTTCAACTCTTCCTTGTAACCTCGACCAGCAATTTCCGTTGCGACTTTCTTCACAGTGACAGCCATAGGAGATTTCACGTAATAGTCCACGGCGGACTTGACGAATTCCAGTTGCCGGTCATGCTTGAGGAAGGCAGCGTATTCGAGGACGATGATGGTAGCTGCTACTTGTGATTAAAATGGTAGCTGACCATGCATTCAGAAACGAACCAATGCCGGTCTGAATGATATTGCTCGTAGAAGTAAACCATGATCCCTTGCCAATCTATTGCAAACTCTTGAATGATGAGGATCAATGCGGGAACTTTAGTACCTACTACAGGCTGAAGGACAGGCACAAGTCGACCTTTCCGGGTTTTGATCTACTCATTGAAGCGGATGAAAGGTGTTAGCACCGGAAACAAGTCAAACAGAGCACTTGCCTCCTGGAACAAAGAATTGTCAAATTCCTGATGTGGCATTCTCGAAAGTTATGAATGAACTTACATTCTGTGCAATTGATAGTCATGAATGGTCAAACAGCGGAAGATAGTGGTACCATGATCAAATGACTTACAAACTATCAGGGAGAGAGAACCAGGTTAGTGCTGCTATAAAATGGTGAATCTATTGAATGGACATACGAGCTATGTGAGACCAACAAAATCATGCATCAGTGGGCAGAGGTAGATTTAGACAGGAAATATCATACCTCCTATAAGGGATAAGAATCATTAGGTGTTACAGGTTACAACATATGACTCACAGGCTAGAGAGAAAGTGCCGATCAGAATTGCCACATGGTGAGTATGCAAATGACTCACATTCTAGGTAGGGTATCAGAATATTGAAGATGAGTGACCATGGGAGAAGGGCTTGAAATTACAATGGATACTCAACAAACTATGTGTTGGATAGTAAGCAACAATGACTCAATATGTCTAACAATAATGAAGAGAGGACTTACATTAGGCTATGAATGGCCAATAGATATCATGATGTCAGTATGATCTCTATGAAATATACAATAAAGAGACCAACCACCTGTCAAAGAACCAGTAACAGCAAGACATGGGCATATTATTACAATGGAATCAGCTTAAGAAGCCAAGGGACTTACTGGTGCCTATCAACAGACCAGCAGGGAGAAAGCATTAGGATCATCAGCAAGGGTTCAGGATGAGCAGCCGTCAAGGTACTGACCTTCTGTCAACAGGGCAGCAGCAGCAAGGTATCAGGATGATCAGCAAGGGTTCAGGATGAGAGACCATCCAGGCACTTACATGCTGTCAACAGGCCAGCAGCCACAAGGGATGGGGATGATCAGCATGGGTTCAGGATGAGAGACCATCCAGGCACTTACAAACTGTCAACAGGCCAGCAGCCACAAGGGATGGGGATGATCAGCATGGGTTCAGGATGAGAGACCATCCAGGCACTTACGTACTGTCAACAGGCCAGCAGCCACAAGGGATGGGGATGATCAGCATGGGTTCAGGATGAGAGACCATCCAGGCACTTACGTCCTGTCAACAGGCCAGCAGCCACAAGGGATGGGGATGATCAGCATGGGTTCAGGATGAGAGACCATCCAGGCACTTACCTCCTGTCAACAGGCCAGCAGCCACAAGGGATGGGGATGATCAGCATGGGTTCAGAATCAGAAACCAACAAGGTACTTACTTTCTGTCAACAGGCCAGCAGTTACAAGGCATCAGGATCATTAGGATGGTGTCAGCATGATAAACTGTTGGGGTACTTACCCACTGTCAACAGGCCAGCAGCCACAAGGGATGGGGATGATCAGCATGGGTTCAGGATGAGAGACCATCCAGGCACTTACCAACTGTCAACAGGCCAGCAGCCACAAGGGATGGGGATGATCAGCATGGGTTCAGGATGAGAGACCATCCAGGCACTTACAAACTGTCAACAGGCCAGCAGCCACAAGGGATGGGGATGATCAGCATGGGTTCAGGATGAGAAACCATCCAGGCACTTACATCCTGTCAACAGGCCAGCAGCCACAAGGGATGGGGATGATCAGCATGGGTTCGGGATGAGAGACCATCCAGGCACTTACATGCTGTCAACAGGCCAGCAGCCACAAGGGATGGGGATGATCAGCATGGGTTCAGGATGAGAGACCATCCAGGCACTTACCAACTGTCAACAGGCCAGCAGCCACAAGGGATGGGGATGATCAACATGGGTTCAGGATGAGAGACCATCCAGGCACTTACGTCCTGTCAACAGGCCAGCAGCCACAAGGGATGGGGATGATCAGCATGGGTTCAGGATGAGAGACCATCCAGGCACTTACGTCCTGTCAACAGGCCAGCAGCCACAAGGGATGGGGATGATCAGCATGCATTCAGAATCAGAAACCAACAAGGTACTTACTTTCTGTCAACAGGCCAGCAGTTACAAGGCATCAGGATCATTAGGATGGTGTCAGCATGATAAACTGTTGGGGTACTTACCCACTGTCAACAAGCCCATGGAAGCAAGCCATCAGAATTGTCAATACTGGTTGAGTTTTGCAAACTACAATCTTACCAGCTATCATCAAACAACAACTACAATCAAGGACAACACATCAGCATGTCTACAGTTTTAGCCATGCAATATTTACCATTAGTTAGCACCATCACCAAGACATCATCATATTCAATCAATCATTGTCTTACTTTGAGATATGAAAACCACTTAGCAATGTCATACTGGTACCGTTCAAGATCAGTCAGACGCAGCAAGGATTGCTTATTTGCACAATCAACAACCATTCTAGATGATGTTAGAACACGACTATGTGGACACACAACTACACAACTCACTCGATGGCACACTTGATACAAAGTTCTAGGTTTGACTGTTGTGTTGAGACCAAGCACAAGCGTAATTCTTCGTCATCCAATGCAAAAGTAGTGTGCTCTAGTAGTGCATCACAGCCTGTATCCTCTTTGTTCATATCTTGGATGACCCACGTCAACTTATATACTAGACAAAACAATCTCGAGCTGGATGACTCACTCTGCAAGCGCACATGGCACTTCGGACGTGCACGGTTCTTGGGGGCATACAACCGATCCAAGACACCCGTACTCATGAATAGTTGTTCGACACGCTGGGCGATTTTCTCCAAGCGCTCTTCTTTCGACACCCCGATCAGTTGCTTCTTGATTTCTCCAAATGCAACTGGACGTAGGGCATCAAACTTGGTGAAGACCACAATTACAGGGACTGAAGAATGTCTATTTAGTCCAAGCATGACAAAGGTCATGTTCAACAAGCTCACCATTTCCAGTGTCGCATTCGGAGAAAAACTTCTCCTCTGACCGCTGGAATGTTCGGCAATGATCGTCCATCGGAACACAATACCTGTAGGACATCGACGAACGAGCACAGCATGCCAGGAGGGAGTCACTTACCACACAGCGTGGATTCGTTCCTCCAACTTTGTCGTGTTCGCGCGTTCTGCGATAAATTTCTTCATGTCCTCGAATTCTTCTACAGAGCCCGCTTCAAAACCGCACGAGTCGTGAAAGACGAAACCGGGATTGCTTTTGAATACCATCTCGTTCGTGATGTCGTGATTTCCACGCTGAGAGTCCATCAATGCACATGTACTTGTAGGACAGATGGTGCACACACCAATATCGAGCCTTCTACGACAGTGGCATCGATCTACTCACAAGTGATCAGCGCTCGACCCCCCGCATGGCGCAGAACATATCACACACCTTGTCTCCTTTGGCATTGTAAATCTCTGGCTTTTCCGTGGTGTTGCAAACCTTCTGAAGGATGGTCGTTTTGCCTGCGTTCGCCCTTCCTACGATCAGAACTCGAAAGCGCCCAAACGTCTTTCTGAGGTTCTGAGGGTCGACTTTTGGTGCCATCGGGAGATCTTGATGTGCGCGCTGAAAGCAGAAGTGGTCTGGTTTCTCGTACAAACAGTGGGGAGTAATACGGAACGGGATCGCAGCGAAATACGAGAGCGAATGGACACCAAGCATGCGCACCGATGGCTCATGACACAACATGTACACACGGCGTCTATCTCCCTGAATTAGACGACCGATTCTACAATTGCACCGTAAATGCACCATTTGCCAATCGTTCAATTGTCCGTGCAATGATGCGCGAAGACTAAGTACACGACAAACGATTTGAATTATAAGACCATTGATAGAGAGTCAGCTACGATGAATGATCAGATTATGGTGGAAATGAGAAATTACCGTCTTCCCTACCCCTCTCCTTGAAAAGAAGTGATATCAATTTCTGCGAAGGTGCAAGTGAGCTCGATCTTTCAAGGTCTTTCAGATGATGGGTCCTTGAGGCGTCTGTGAACGCAAGAGCATCTCAGGGCGTGCGTCCCCCTATGGAACGGGAGAGATCTCGTGAACCTCGACAGGTTCTCCATGTTCCTACCTTAGGAAATGGTGGCGCTAGATATGAATGCAGAAGCTGCACAGGCGGGTGTTGTTTGACCTCGGACATCGGCCACACTAGTCGATGCTGGGAGAAGGGCCGATGGAGCGGGCCGTGGTAGGTTGTAGGATCCGTAACTGGGGGTAGGATTGGTACATGTGCTCGGATGACTCAACAAGTCGACTGCTCATCGTGCTGTAGAAACGGTGCATATAATCAAAATATGTTATTGTGGAGTATCATGTAATACGTACTGGTAACCTTATGCTTGGATTTGGAGGGCTAGCGCGAGCTTACTAAATCTACCCCAGAACGTTCGGAAACCGACACCTGAGCAAGATGCACAACGTTTCTTGCGACCTGACATAGGATCAAATTGCGGTTCTGTGCGCCACTGTTTCCCTTCGATTCTGCCCGCCCTGGTGCTCACCTTGATGAATGATATGCTGTCCAGGTCCTCGCACGCCAGGAGGATATATTATGGCATAGCGAGCTTCCTGGTATCTTTTGAGGGGTGAACCGAAACCATATTGCGGTGATGTAAGCGATGAAGTACATGGCCTGGTGCTGAAATTGCGAACGAACAAATGCACAGCCCCAAGTACAAGCTAGCTTCGAGCCCCGTGCAAAATAGCATACTTTGGCAAGGATACAGTGAATGCAAGGACTTGCGGTGCGCGCTAAGACTCACTGAGGTTTGAAAGATATTTGGGACTGCGCTTTGGATCCAGTCATTTCGGGGAACGTCGACAGAATCGCGGGATACCATAGTGCTGAGTGCTGGGGTGCATGGTGCGGGGCAGAGATAATCTCTGCTGGTATCGAACCTCTTCCTGGGTGGACTGTACCAATGTCGCAGATATCCAACGTCTTGTCCAATGAAGTGGACAGATTGAGTGTCGTATCGTCTCCAGCCTCCACGAGCAGTAATAGGCTACCATTTTGCTCCGGTAGTCGAGACTGTATGTGATGATCCCGCTATACTTATTATTTATTTATTTATGTTGTCAGTTGATCCTAGGTAAGGTGAAATACGCACTAAGATAGCATCGAGGTCAATATGGAAGCGCGACGTACTTCCCTGGAACGTCATTTTATTTATCGTTCATTGGGGCCATTGGCCCTATGTCGGATGATACAGCACATGTGTAGAGACCCACTCTTTACGGATGATCGTGATATACTTTATGTGCTATATGAAATATCTGCTAATGCGTAATGCTCACATTTTGCACAGGTGCCTACCGGACTTGTAGCTGTGGTGTTATTTACAATCACAATTCACTGTCTTTCTGGCTTCACTTCGCCAAAACTCCACTTTACGCTCGCTATCAGACTTGGTGTCAGCGATGACGAGACTTAACGAACCAAAGTGCATTGAACTGCCTCGGAATTCGAACCGGACTGATGTCCCGCCCCCCTTCTCGGCCGCAGAAATAATACCGTTTATACTGGTCAGTCCGTGCTCCAACAGTCGATCGGTGCTCATAGAACACCTACAATTATTCCACTGCACGGTAGAAGCAAACGCCGGACGTTCAGTCTAGGTCTGGGTACAAGTGAGCGCAAGAATAAATGCACCTTGATCCAGCATTGATAGGTACAGTCTCCTTCACTTGCTCTGCGAGACGTTGTATTGAAGATGCAGAATCCATCTTTCTACCAAAAGGTGCATAGTCTGCACCGCCGGTCACGAAGAGTGTACTCAATTCGGCTTTGGCGCGACCGATGATGATGTTGTCAGTTACAGGTATCAGTAGATTAGTGAAACATGATGATAGAAAGGGGGCGCAATAAGAAAAGAAGTGAAGAAACCCAGGGTGACGACCTGCCTCTGCGGATATAAAGGTCTGCGCTCGAGCCACGATTGATGTCGTTTCGTTTTGAATGCCACATTTAGCAGGAGAGGCTCTCTCACAGAACGAACGACGTGGTGGATATTCGTGAAAAAAATAAACATCGAACGCAAAGTGATAGCATCGTTGTTTAGCAAAGAGCTTAATCTTGAGTCTAATAACGTGCAGACCACCTTTGAACCGGGCTGCGACCTGATTGACTCCACAGAGACGGAGCTGATAAGGTTGCTATAACCACCACGCTGAGTGTGCCAGAGAACCCGGCTGGTGAAACCAATCAAGTCAGAGAATATAAATAAAGGCTTTGGCTCGATATAACTCAGCTAATATCAGATAAGCGCGTGCATATACGTTGCGAAGGTCCGAAGGATAAGTGCAAGGTACCAAGTTACAGAAACTGCGATCACTGAGCACTATCATGAAGGCCCGGGCTCCATCTACCACTCTTCATCCAGTTGCAACCCCACCATGCGCGGCCCAATCTTCGTTCTCAGGTCCTGGACTTCTTCAGCCTTGATGGAGTGGCGCTCAATCAATCTGACAATCTCATCCAGTGCATCGTCTCCTCCAGTACGGGTTAAAGGTACATGGGAGTGAATTGCTGAATGAACACTGCTTTTCCCCGCCTCATCATAGGCTTTGATAGCAATTTTGATGACGCGACGAGAGATGGGCCCTGTCGGCGCCAGCAGGAACGCAATCTGCATGATACATGTTAAATCCACGATGTACGCCATAATCCGCCGTAAGGTCATGTTTCTAGAAGCCATTCTGAGCACGTTGCAAATAGCGAAATAACGCTTCACTCACGTCTGTTGATAGATGTCATAGACCCATTTAGCCATGACCATCCCTGCGGCAATGGGTGCAACGATCGGTAGAAACGGAGCTGCCAGTGGCGTCATGATACCTATTATTGCCCCGACCACGGTGAGGCCAAATGTACTGCCAATACCTCCATAAACTGAAAGCATCTCACAGTACAACAACTCACAAAGATCCCGCTGTGTTCGGAAAGTCGTCCCTGTCTAGATCTTGTAGAATCAGCTCTTGGAACTTGCCACTGGCCAAGTGCTTTGCAAAACACGTCAGCAACCTGAGATATTAACCCATACAAGATAGGCATCTTACGCAGTGAGGGTCATTGAAGTTCCATACGGCAATGACGTCCTTGTGGATCACAGACAAACAGTCCTTCATGGTGAAGCCTGCGAAGTTCATACTCGAGCCGAGACCTCTCCAATATCCTAAGAATTCAAAAGTCACAAAATGGCGTCGAAGACTGTGACGAGACTAACTTTTCCTACCGATGCTGTGAAGAGTAAAGTGTGAAATAAGGCTCTACCAAAAGTATAGCGATCGTGCATACGCGATTGATGCCTTAACTTTAAGACCAATGTCTACTCGTTGGGCTATCATCATAGCCAATGCCGCTTCTGAGGCGACGAATTTTTCCACGTTTGTAGTTGTGAGATCAATCAGCTCTCGTACAGTATTTTCGTACCCATCCGTTGCTGTCAAGGTACATTAGAATCACAGGCTAGAGAAGGCGAATGCCCCTCACTGGAAACAGTTGCATGCAGGATATCACTTCCAGCCACATCCATGAGCGGCTTGATACACAGATTATTCAAAAAGTCTCTTTTGAACTGTTCGAGCGCGGCTTCATCACATCCTTCCAAATCCATGGCTTCGAGCTCCAGTGCGTCGAGAAAAATATCGTGCTTGGTGAAGACAACAATGATCGGAACTACAGTTTGGAACATGAGTTACGAGAGACAAGAGGTAAACGATGCGCACTATTGCCCAGAATTGCCTTCCTCGATTCTAGAAACTCCTTGACTCCGTTCTCAAACAACCGTCCATCCGCATGAGGTATCGAGAGGCAGAGCCTTGAACCAGTGTCAGCACGGCAGAGTGGCAGTGGCAACTAGAACATCATACCAAACCGCGTGGATTTTGTCCTTCAGAGCGGGCATTTTGCGTCGGCAGTCGATAAACTCTTTTGCAGCCGCAAAACTGGCGCTGTCGCCAGCTTCGAATCCCTCACTATCGTGGAGGACAAACCGCCCGTTTTGGGGCGCGACGAACTCCCGATTGATATCAGCTACGCCTCGCGAATGTCCAGAGACATGCTGGGTGGGCGAGTGTCAGCATCTGTCGTCCACGGTACTAATTCTTCGACTTAACCACTTCGTCTATCTTAAATGCCTGGTGGATCAACGATGACTTGCCAACCCCAGTCTACAAAGCGGGTGCGTGAGCGATCTATGGTTGAAGACAGTGATCCGACAGACCTTCCCTATTACCAGTAGTCGGAACCTTGGACAAATCTCTAGAACATCACTGCTAGTCGGCTGCAGCTGTCTGGTATGGACACTATCGCTGATAGGACAAGGATGCTAGTTTGTTTTTTGAGACAAGATATCTTCAAATATACTGACGATATTGTAATGACGACAGTCATCTTCATCTTCTTTCTAGTCATCTCGTGCACTGTAACATCAAGCTATCAACTTAATGCGACACGATCGGAGACGGGTTGGTTCACCTCGTTTACCATCTTGATCCACTATATCGGACAAAATGTCTTGTCTGTCCAATGGAAACTTCACGATACTCTTCCACGGAAGTACGCCCATAGAATGGTGTTGACAGTGTACCAACAACGAAGCTGGCTCAGTGGTCACCGCACTGTGGTAAACTATTCAGACCGAATTCCTGGGCAACTATAGATGGGACTCACATGGCGTGATCGAACTTTGCACTAAGTTCTTTGTCTTTGCCCGAGCCGCGGAGGACTTCCCGTCGCTGTGAACCAAGCTCCAACTCGACAAATTCGACTATCTTTTTCGAAGCATCGTCGACCTGGATAACAATACCTAAGAAGTAAGATGTTTAAGGGTGAGATACTCGGTAAATGAGAGATTCTTACTGGAAATGTGGAGATGGACAGAGGAGGCAGCTACGGCGGCAGTGGTATAAGTTTCAGACATCGACTTTCCAGTGAACAGGAGGAGGGAATGGATGACAGCCGCGAAGGCACGCGAACATAGTATAATCGCACGCTGGATGGGCGCTTCGACAGTAGCACAAAAGTTAGACTAGCCGAAGAATAGCTTGACTAGCTAAGCAGATGGTTTTGATTTCCGATCGGCTTGACTAAGCAAGATTGAGCAGCCACTGCCAGTAGAGTTGTCAGAATGTAAGTATGATGGTGTCATTCTGGAGTGGGGAATGTATACTTATCCTCATCTTTTCAATTATTCAGCACTGTGCGTTGCTTTCCAAGCTCTCGGTGGGATGCTGTACGCGAAGGCTACATATTACCTATTTGTGCTGAAATAGCCTTGAGCAGATACCAACACCTCGACAGCTCTCGGAGCACCTGATGCTGTGGTACTCATGCATGATATTACTGTTACTGTAGTCTAGACCTCATGCATGTTCTACTGCTATCCTAGTCCACAATCCATGCATGATGTACATATAGTCATGCATGATGACCATGCCTTGCATGGCATGCTAAGCATCCTCATGCACCACCGCATTTTTTTGACTGTGGGAACTTTGTCACTACATCCAAAACATATCCATTTCTGGTCATCTCCTGGATCTCAACATTTCCCACACTCCTCCCAAGCATATTCCTGCCCACCACCATACCATATCCACCTATCCACTGTAGATAAGTATTAGTATAGGCTATGTACATATAATAGGTCAGAATATAACGCATTTTTGTCTGTTTTTGTACCAATACAAGCTCCAGAGACCTGTACATATCATACAGGAAAAAACATATCAAAAACACATCCGCATTTTGTCCCTTCAATTATATAATGTATTAGCACACTAATTATGTGCTTTTTAGTATATATGAGTCTATTCTACCGCTTGTTTGACCCTCTAAAGGTCCCTACACCACTAGATGTAGCATGCACACAAAAAATATCAAATAGCTTGCATTTTTTCAGTTTAAGCTATATTGTTGAGACTTACAAGCCGAGAACATGCGTGCTTACAAATCATAAGTAGTGGACTTGTTTTTTGAGTTTCAGAGAAAAAACATAATATAAAGTATAGGAGATTTCCGCATAATTATCATCTTGCGTCCTATTCTCGTCGTCTGCTTCTATCAGAACACGCATCACAACTCTCCAGTCATAACCTTAATCTTAATAGGTTATGAGCCCTGACGTGCGCAAATAAGATTATAAAACATATATCAGACGAGATCTAACCAAAAAAAACCTCCAAAATGACGGACCAATCTGCCGGTTCCTCATTGTCGTCGTTGTATTGGATCAAGCATTTGAACGACTCCAATTGGCTGGGTGGAAGCACCGAGTCAAAGCCATTTTGTTTGAGAAAGGAATTGAGGGGTACGTTGAAGGAACTATCCCCAAGCCTACATGAGGCCCAGACCTGTGTCGGCACAGAGGGAAGCTGACATAGCAAAGTGGGAGATGCAAGACCGTAAGGCCCAGACTGTGATTGAGCTGTCAATAAGTGATAGCCAAATGATTCACTTAGCTGGAGCCACAACGGCAAAAGACATGTGGATCAACTGAAGACTGTGAAAGAATCACGACGAGGCAAACAGGCGATCACCACATGGCGGCGGAAGTTCTATAGAACTGTCCTGACGAAGGCGATGATGTCCCCATGCA